ACGATGCACTGAACCGAAATTCAAAAGCCTTGCTTGACAGGTCTCCAGAAGCCTCCACACCGGTGCTTCGTTCGCGCTCCCGCGTTGGACCTACGCCGCACTGCTTTGTGGATCACACTTTTAAGTCAAAGGCTCCGGTTTCCAGAGAATGATTGAGGCAGATAACAGCGAAGATGCCTACCACTACAGTTGAGTGTTGATAGCAGGGTTCGATCCTTGAACCTTAGGACACAGAGTAGGCCAGTGACAACGACCTAAATCACTACCAACATCCATTGTATGTATATCATCTTGATTGTTTTTTAGTTCGCCACTTTAAGTCTCGGAATAAATTTCTGGTCACCTTAATCGAATAATCAATCTCAGAATTCGAACATCACGGTTTCTACTGGTCACTTCGCGTTTTGTTATTATATTTCACAGCTAACTGGATCCCAACCGTGTTCCTACGAAATAATGGTACGAACTCTATCTCAGGAAATCTGTTCATAGTTTACGGGTGGATGGAATACTACTAGGTTACCCAGGTCAGTTTTCTTGGGAAATTCGCAACTGGGTCTTCGGTCAATCAACGCCTGACCGGCAAGACAGTAGGATAGTGTGTCAAAGCCACAGTCCGTTGGGGGTTGATGTCATCGGTTTAATTGCCCATTGACGAGATCAAACATCTAAGGTGCTCAATACACTTAGATACCAAATCAAACTGCAATCCACGGCCAGAACCAGGGGTGGGTGTGGCTCGTACGCCTCTTCTTGTTTGGTTTGAAATAAGAATTTATCCAATCTTCCATAGGTGAACTGCCAGTGGTTCATCGACTGGGCTATAGCCTCGATTATTAGCTAATCATCTTATCACTTCGGTGGAAAAAACCGACACGTAAAGATTACCCCAACAGAGGCGCTTAGTCATACTTAACAAGAATTGGTTGATCGGACATGTTTTCTTCTTATGGAGTGGGTATTGGTCACATTCCGTTTTCCCCCGCACTATCTGTTCAGGGTTTCACGACCAGAACCTTCGGCTCGCTGAAGCCTGATCCACAGTGCAGCGGGGCGGTATATTTACAGGTGCGTCGTACACCTCTGCTGCAGAAAAATGCAAATCACTAGCGTAGCTCTGGTGCACTAGCGCATACACACTCAATTTCCTTCCGATCCGCATGTGCATCTATGCGTGGACTGCAGTGACATGTTCTGAGTATAGACTAGTTAACGTGATGGACAGAGCCAACCAATACGGCACCAGAAATTGATTCAATCTACACGGGAATCTACGCGAATTGGTAATGATCGTTAACTACTGGTGGTCTGCAGCAGTGAGATTGGGAATTCGATTTGAGTAGTTTGACAGTCTGGCCATTTGGTGTATGAGAATTCCTGATGCACCCGTAGACATATCTGCCGTAATAAGTTGTGTGAATAATTGATCAAAATTTCCCTGGAAGCATAGAACCAGGTTCACGGTGATTGCCGCTCATTAGGTGTGCGTATCCGGTAGTCTCTCATACAATCATTAGTGTATATGAACTCCGGATATTTCTTTTTATCACAACTCTCTAATCATCAACATGGGCGTAGATTTTACCATCTAACCCGCCAAATATTCCTTCAAGTACATGTGTTGATCAAACTCTTGCAACACACGGTCGCTAATCAGACATTTGTGACGAAAATGTAAATGCATATTTTTGTATCTGAGGACTACAACGTACCACTCAGTAAATTAGTGAGTTCCATTTATTTTAAGGCTGCAAATCTCCGGTCTTTTTTGTTTCATTTTACTGGGTCTTGCAAACAGGAATTCAAATTAGGTTTATAAGATTAATACGTGATTTCAGTCCTATCTATTTTACGTACTTGTGTACATTCTATGTTTGGGTTCATATTCTCAGAGAGTGTGCTAATTTATTTGTGTCGATCTTGCATTCTACTAATGATTTTAAGCTGAAATCAATGATTCATTTTCATAAATGTCCACTTTTCATCCTTGTTCAGCTATCCGTATTGCTTGCACATGTTGGATTTGCTTCAGTTACCGGAATTCCGAACGGAATTGGCTCGTGGACAGGTGTGTCGTTACATAGACGACCAAATCCTATTGCATTGGCAGCATTACATGCGGAAAAGAGCAGCCATGATTGACAAACACGTAGAAGAATTAACGGGTGCTCCTCCCAGATCTGGTCTCACCGACACCATGGGAAATAACATGATTGGTCCCTAATGCACCCAGAAACTATACGTCTCGCTGCAATGTTTTTCACTTGTAAATATATGCATACCCATGATTCGATAGTAATGTCCATGTACCAAGGTTGAGTCCTTGGAGCTCCTGGGATTGTTCATGGTTGTTTCAGCCCATCAAAGTATACTTCTGTATCACCACCTGAGTATTCAGTGCTATGATCGGGATAATCATGAATGGGAACGGAAGGATACATCTCGTTGTTTGTACAAGAAAGCTAGAGATGGTGTCTGTGTTGAATGATTAAAACTCCCTTTATCTTGGATTTGGTTTAAAGCTAGATTGTTCCGATCTAACGTATTTCGTAGGTGATGCAGTTTGAGCATTATTATATTTATCAAGCTTCTGCAGTTATCGACCTCAATCCAACTCTCTTTTGATCAGCGTTAGAGTTGACAAGCTAATTGTTGCTCCCATAAGGGATAAGATCGGATAGCCCTGCTCCAGTTCAGGGCTACGCCTTTCCTATGCACGCGTCTTTTGGTTCGTCATTTCAGTGCTTTGGCCCTTGGCGGTCTGCCTAATACGTCCCCTCAACCATTTTATTTACCCATACCTATAGGTCCTCACACTAAGATGTTTTAAACAATTGCCTCCCATAACCCAACATACCAATATCATACATTTCTAATGGATAGTCTTATTCTTTTGCTGTGGTACACCGTTGGTTATTTTGTCATTTGCATTGCCGCAGAACGATTAGTGTAGTAAATGTTGAATGAATAATCATCGACTGCTGGTCCGCAGAGCTTCACATGAAGGCTACCTGAATTGTATCATAGGCTTATAAATAGAATACCCTATGCTGGAAATCGAAGCTTGTGACTATTAAATATGAAGCTTTTAAGGAAAACCGTCATTCAGAATTCGGGTTCAGGGGAAAGGTTTCAAGATTTACTGTTGAGATTCAAGTATCCTCACTCGAATGGTAGCCAGCGAGAAGATAATACTCGGTGAAAAACATTGGACGTCTGATCATCACCAGAACACTTCTGTGCTTCCTCGAAAACCCTACCTAGTAAAGCTACTTGTCGTGGAGCGTGATGTTCTGGTATTTTCACTTCTTCAAGAAGCTCTTTGTTTATTTACTGCCTCTTTAGTCCGTTCTCCAATTAAGTTAACTCTACGATAGCTGTATAGGCAGCTGGAAGAAGCTTCACATTCGCTAAGGTACGAGTTGACTTAAGGCTTAACTCAAATTCTGAATGACCCTTCCCAAACTGAGGTAGTTCAGAAGCGAAAAATCTTTTCTACCAAACGAAACTCATACGAAGTGTCGTTGGCTTTTGGTGTTTTCCGGTTTGAGTCGTCGCATATCAGTGGAAGATAGCATTATTTTGGTCAGCTAGTGCTCCTTCCCTCATCATGTGCTGTGCAGTGCATTAGAGTTGTCCAAAGCCATGCCCCATCCATGAGACCCGAAATTAGTTTTCCAATAGATGCTTTCATGATACTGCGTTGGACGGCTCGAGAATACTGTGAACAACGGTCAAACGGCTCGGATCACTTAAACCTAGAAATTTTGCATTTGGACACTATCACCAATTTCTTCCGTTTCTGTGTCTACGGGCTGTCTCTAATTCCGGAAAATCAGCTCGAACATTTTATATCCATTAAACGAAATTCAGCAGAATATCGTAAAAGGAACAAACAAAATGTCTGTCGTAGCTGACTGAATTGTTATCATGCGACCGAAAAAATCAGAACCAATATTGTTTTTCCAAAAATGTGAAAACAAATTCCATCAGGGCTTCGGGGTAAGTGTATCGGCGCGCCCTTGAAGGAGAACCGGGTTACAAGCCCAAGGTTGACAAGTCAAATGTAAACAGGAAAATAACGTTCATTCCTCATGATATTCTTCTAACCAAATGATTTATGGGATCGTTTGAGTTTGCGTGCTTCCTCTATCACCGGAATAACACGACGAACGGTACTCACAGAGGGTTGACCGGCTGCCGTTGACTCATTCATTGTGAAGAAGAACTCATTCGTGGTGGGGAAACGATGTGCTAATCCGGGAGCAGCACTACCATAGAATCGCTCTGTGAAAAGGATTTGTCGATAAAGCCGTGGAAAACACATTTCCAGCTGAACCAGCGCTCGTTGGATATCAGTCACTTCATAGGCCAGGATGCGCAGTTCCATACAAGGTAATCCGTGCACAGTATACACCACTGTTTCGTTCAACCGTATTCGTGTCCTTGTTCTCTGTTCGATTGCGAATATTCGGCGATCTGTGATGCTATGCATTTCCTCTAATAATTTACTCAGGCGAACATCCTCACAGTCTTGGAGTACATCATTCCAGAACTGGACACGTTTCGGGTCTAATTGGGCTAACAAAATCGTGTCCGAATGTGCTGTCACGGTGCTTCGCTGTGAAGGCGTTGCTTGCTTGAATACGGACGCTTCCTTCGATTGGGCATTATTATTCACAATTAATGAATCTGGTGGTGCCGATGCTATGGAAGTGGTTGTGGTGTGGACAAATTTTCGACGAAGTCGATCAAGAAATTTTTCTCTCCGTGGAATAGTTTTCTGTTCTTGTGAGTTTTGGTCACTAGACATGAAAGCTTCTCCAGTATCATTTACTGGGTATGAGTGATCTTTTCGTTTCATCCGTTTTCGACTGCTTGTTGTATTAGTGTTATGTTGACCCATCTCTGTCACTTCCGTCTCCAGTCTGGTCATTAAGTCCTCTATATTTTTTAAACACGTGCGAAGTCGATTGCACGCACGAAATGGAAGAACGAGCTCATCAATTTCGGATGGGACAATAGCAACGTAGGCGAAAAAATCTATTTTTCTAGTCGGTTCTGATTTATTACCCTCATTCATATGTGTGTCGTAGTATATATTGTTACGAGAAGATTGTCCTTGTGTCCGTACTCTGCGACTGTTTGCACGGCGTCTAAATTTCGGAAACCATCTTGCTTTGTTTTGCTTGTTTCTGGTTGCTTTTACTGAACCTGGTGACCGAGTTATCGTTGAGGGATTCTTCGTGCTGGCTAGCGATGAATGGGAACATGTTATGACTTCAGCAGGTTTCGCTCGACCAGTGCTGGAATGAAACCTTTGCTTTGGGTGCACTGCAGACCACAAACGGGGTTTGCCGATCACCTGTCTAGTGGTTATTGGTTTTTCTTGGACCGATTGCCCAAAGCGAATCCCCAATTTTAAATTTCTAGTTAATGGAGGTTTTGATCGGAGTTTGCGTCCTGAACATGGGTGTTTCTCTGTTTTCTTACGTAACTGATCCCCCTTACCTAGGTTGCTAGTTAGATGGAGCGATCTCCGCAAACCGTGAACACTGAATGCAGTAGAACTAGAATCACCACACACACGGTCATTGAGTGAGTTACCTGCTGGTTGATTTACTTCAGGATGTCTGTAGTTTTCTGTTTTTTTCGATTGGTCTTTGTGGAGTTTCTTTTTATTGGGAAACAGTTTATTCAATTTTATAAGCTCTCTTGGAAAAAGACGGCGATAGCAACGTCGCCAGCCGGTTTTCGGATCGATAAATCGTTGGTGATGAGCTAACGTTGGGGAATCAGCATTTGATTGTTGTTGAATCGCTTGCAGTGAGTGAGACCTCTTGTGACGTGGACGAATCACTACCTTGTCAAGTGAATGGTATTTTCCACGCAGGCGAGCACGGCGTAACCCAACGCGTTTATTCCCTTCATCCGTTCTTGGAATTCTACCTTCAGGCCACAAAATGGACTCTATAGGTTGAATAGCATAAAACTGTGTTGCCAGATTCCGGGTACTAAAGTTCCAGGGCGGTCTTTTGAAATTATTTTTTTGTCTACCTTTCCTGTTCGGTTCGACACGCTCCGGCCGTTTCAGTTTCCGGCGTGATGTCTTATGAAAAAAGGTCGACTTGTGTGGGTGTTTTGGTTGAACGATTGAATCTAACGGTTCCTTGACGAATCCTCTCGGAGGTTCCGATTGAACAAATGATTGATTCTGTAAATGAATCTCTTCATTCATCGGTATATATTGCATCTCCAAGTCCATTTCACTTCCTGGTGGTTCTGTAAAATTACTCCGCATGGAACCTTTGCTTATCGTTTCGTTCACATCCGCGATTTCTTCATTCTCATATATTTCGGATACCTTTTTGTTTTGAGGAGGCTCATCTAGTTTTTCTGCCGAAGCACCATCTGCCTTGCTTTCTAACCCTGCGGGCGTGCGCTGTTCTGAACTGGGAGAGATTTGTCGTTGTCGTCCTGTTGCGATTCCTGGTCTTGGTCGATGTTTGAATGCAAACTGTTCGTCCGAAGTGGAATGCAGGAATTCGGAAGCGGCGGACAGAACAAATGTGTCTGATGTTTGATCCTCCGGTTTCGCCTTCCCGTCACATACATGTGATGTCGTGCTCGACGTGAGAGTATAGGACTTCAGATCTTCCAGACGAAGCATGGGTAACGATGGTTCTTGATTGTGAGATTGGCTCCCTCTTGAGAGGAATTGCGAATGCAACTGAGATTTGCCAAAAATCTGTCTGAAAAGTTTCAACCTCAATCGGTCATTTTTAAAACTACGAGTCGTGCGAGTTTGTCCATTGTCATTTCGTCTTTTCACATGGGTATTTGAAACGTAGGACTGTTCAGCTACCGAGGTTGGCGCTTCCCGTTTTCTCTCATTGAAGGAGTTTGTGTAATTATTATTAGTGTTGAAACTGTTATCATTTTTGTTGTGGTGGCTTCGTTCTGAATTCGTGGTATCTCCCATTTGCCGATGAATGTTTTCTGTCAAATGACGAGATGATCGTCGATGAGTACATTTTTCTGAAGGTGACTTATTGATAGACGTATTACAGATGGGTGAAAGACTCACGGGATTGCGACCATCAAATTGGAAGGAAATCTGACAGTTATCGTCATTCGGCAGCCATAATTCCGGAATTGGGAAACCTTTTTCAGTTCCCGTTGAGCTGCTTTGAGAAGTGGTCAAACTAGATGAATATCTTTCGCTTGAATGTCGTAACAAATTGTTAATAAATGTTTCCGTCTTTGACGGATTGTGCTGATTAGTTGTGTGCTTATGAACTACCGATTTCAATGACCACAGTTGGTCTGACTCTGCTCTGGTTTTTCCATTCTTTTGTCGTGGATAAGTTGGACTGCTTCGCGTGGGAAAACGATGAGGACGGGTTGGTGATAACAACAAGTCGGGTTGTTTGCACGTTAGCCGTTGCACACGTTGCATTATCTGTGAATGTAAAGGCATATATCTGTGTCGCAATCGATTTGGTTTTGTCCCGGAACCAGTAGAACTCCCATGTCCGACTGAGCTTGTTGATAGAGTAGAGTTCATCGGTGTTACTTTTGTACTTTCTTTGGATAGATTGACAATTGACATCGTTTTGTTCGAATTTTTCGTCGATTTGGATACGATAAAGCGATTCATCCTTTTATTCTGCTTTGACTCAATGCCTGGTTGTTTGCTTACGATTCTGGGGATAAAATTGTGTACATTTTGATTGGTCGATTGTTGATTCGATATAGATTTAGGCGGTCGTGGTATTCCGTGTTCTTCTGAGTCCGACTCTCTACTTGGCTTGTGTCGGTCAGCTAACTGTGTCGGTGGTTCTTCTGCTCCTAATTTTGATGATTTTTGCACGAGTTTTATTGAGGGAAATACATCAGACAACCAGTCACCGCACTCATAGTAAGAACCCCGAAGCTTACCCGGTTGTCTATTTGAATACACTAGTCGTTTATCAGTGTTTCGAGGTATGGTATTCCACGATCGGGTTCCTTCGATTGTCATTTTCGCCTGACTTGGAGTATACAGTTCATGTTGACTATATTGTATATGGCAACTCAATGATCGATCCCATTCAGTTTTGTCGATTTTCGTTTGAGCCGTATGCGATTCCGTTGAGCGAGCTCGAAAACTATTTAAAGCAACTGCTTCCCTTGGAGTGGTCATGTCTGCACTTAACGGTGAAAACAATGTTGTTTCTGCGAACTCAGATGCACACTGGCCGTGGTCGAGCTCAGGTAAATCGGTGCTCAACGGTTCCCAAATTTCGTTCATCTGTTTGTGTCTCTGGATTTCAGTTTGGCTCGCAACCGAAGGACGAACAGTTTCTAATGCTTTACGAATCAGTTCATCTCTACGTTTACTATACTTTGCTGACAACAGTGCACGATCACTGAGCGCACGACCCTGAGCAGATCTGCGATGTGTACGTCGTGATTTGTCCAGTTGAGTAGTAGATCCCGATTGATGCTGAATAAGTTTTCCTCTCTTACTTTCTGATCGTCGAAATTCATTCTCCTGCCAGTTTGATATCCATTTGTCTAATGCTTGACAATCAACTAAACGTGATCGGGCGTTGCGGATATCTGTAACTAGATTTGATGCAATCTGCGTCTCCGACAGGCACACTGTTTTTAACTTGCTTTGATGTTTTGATGTATTCAAAGCTTGATTTAGTATTGCTCGCAAGGAGAACAAATCATCCTGTGGAACTCCCGTGGTGGGTTGCTTGTGTGGAATTGTTCGAAAGCGTTGTGAACCCGATCGTTCCGCATGTGGATGTACTCTTCCGTTCTCGTCAGCTGGCTTTTTCGAAGTTGAATCGCGTTTCGGAGCGGACTTAGAACAGACAAATAATGTTTCCAAAAACGCGCGGACCATGGGAACTCCATGAGATGCACAAAATGAATAGTTTCCACTCGATGAGAAGAGCAGGTGACGAAATTCTGGTAGAAATTGTACCACGTGAATCAGTGGGGATGTTACTTTTCGAATGAATTAAATCAATCATAGTCACGTGGTTCTATGCGAGACCCAGATTGATTAGGGTATCAGGGATAATGACAAAGTATTAGGCTAAGTTGTTTAGCATCAAATATTAGACTCCAAACGATAAAGCAAACTATAGATTCTATGTATATCGGTCTGATTTTTCTATCTAATCAACGCATCAATAGTTGAAACAGTGGAACAGCATCAATGCAATCCGGCAATTACTATGAAGCTGTACAAATTGTCCCACAAAATGGCACACAGGTTCATTCTCAGTGCATCACAATCATGTACACAGTACAGTTTGTGTAAATAATTACGGGGATGGACAGTAAGATAGGCTGAGGGTGAGTGTTCACACATTTCAAGTCAAGTCAGTGAAAGGATCACTTTATTTACACGGAGCATTGGGTATTCAGCGGCCACATGCCCAAAATGTGTCGAACAATCAGAAATATACTGCATTAGTTTACAAAAGATGGACGAAATCTACAGAAGACCAATTAAAAACCATGGTATTGTTCAATTTAGGATAGTATATTACGCAGTTTCTGCAATCAGTTTATAGTTTGTGAGAAATCTGGCTGAAAATGCGACAATAGTGTGCCTGTAAGCCGCAGTGTGTGTCATGCTCAGGTGTGATTGTTGGTATGACTCACTGCATGAATGAGTTCACTCTAGGCCTTCAATACCATAGTGAGTAAATTCCATTGAGGCAGGTTACCTCAAATAACATCGATTCCTTTGAACCAGATGCAGTTGCCTCCATACATCCCGCGAAAAAAGTATTAATCCCCCCTAGATTTTTGGATTATCCGCTTGCTTGATTATCACCATCTTTGAGCACTATAGACGGCAACCAAATGAAAAGCCTGAATACGAAGTTTTATCAAATTGTTTTTACTTTTAACTAAAATATGTCAAAAAACAAAATTTTCATCCTTTCAAAAGTACTGCACCCCATGGAAGACACTTTATTGCTCTATAAAATTTCGAATCCTGTCTGTGTCGATATTTTTCCACTCCTTAATCAACAATACCTCTGATTCATGCATTGTGGTGCACCTTTCGGGAAAGAATATCCAAACTGTTTTCTACTGGGTGCAAATCTGGGATGCAAGCAGGTCGCACCATTGTTTTGATGCTGCGTGCTAACAACCAGCATTTTTGTAGATACGAGTTATTAACTACGGAGGGAACATACTGGTGAAAGGCCTTCGGGTGACCGTTTGATGACATTGCCAGCATAAGGTGCTGCTCCAATGTACGTAGAAATGTATGAAAATCTTCCACCGCACACAGTATAGCGAGTTCGTTTGGGCCGTTGCTTGATACCACCACGCAGTTTCGATAGCTAATCCAATTACCGAAGTACCGCCCCTCCCTGTGGGTGTGTCTCAATTAAATTTCTTGTCGTCGCTTAATTAGAAGAAATTTCGTTAATTTTTCCAAGTGACATGAACTTCAGTTCGCCATAAAAGTCTCGATTTGTAAAGTTGTTGGAGCTGTGCATCTTCTCCTCTGTTATTTCTTCCAAGGGACCGTTTCGAGTTTTCGATGTACCGTTAGCACAGAAGCGTTCGATCCAAGCACCATTTTCACCTCTCGGAATTTGAGGCCACACGTTGCAAGCCGTCCTTACCATTCCCTGAGAGCTTTTTCTGATGTCTAATCTGTTCATCACTGGATTTAGGCTGTTTCCGCTTCAAATATCTTGCCGCCGTAGGAAATTACTGGCGTTTTCTCGGTTTTACTGGACGGAATTGTGTAATCTGATCGGTTTTTTCACCCCATCGGTGCTGCCGTTGTTTCCATTCGGGAAAAATCTAGACAGCAGTGCCATGAATCTAGCACGTCTCCACTATTCAGCAAACTTTTCTGTCGCTTCCAATGACTATTCGCACTATCATCTAATTGTCTTTTGATAGGAATCGTTGAGACACGTATCGTGGGACAAGATTCGGTGATAGACTGGCACAAAACAGTTCGATTTACCTGTATGATGAATCAAAGAAAGTATGAAATGGAAAGTTTGGGATTTATGGGGAGTTGTTTCACACTTTTTGGGTTTTACTAACAGTGTGAATCCTAGTGCATATATGCGCTACCCATGATGCCTGCACGAAGCTCGCAAAGATGGATTGTGCTACATCGTGTAAAAACAAAATGAAAAACGGTCTAATCAGCAACCGAGTGGGTAGTATGCTTGCTTTCTACCCGTGGGGTACCGGGTTCGATGGATTCACACTACTGCTGAGACCTAATCAGGTCAAAACAGCTGTACAGCGCTTCCTGGATTCTCAGTTCACGTTTCGTTTGCTCTATACACGACGACACACTGTACACTTGATGAACTGTTTTAGTTTCAATCAGTAAACCGAATGAATAAACTTGTTATTCATGCAGACCACATGAACGCGCAAAGGACACCATAGTGATAGCTAATTATTATGTCATCCCAGCTGCCTAATAGTATGACTGGATCCGAGACGTTGTGTTTGAATCTTTCAGTTTTCTCTTAGAGTGACCTACCCTGGTAATCAATGCAAATTTACTACGTACGTTTTATGCACTTTGTTCCTTCAAACATCATGATCATATCAGTTCCCTAACATGGAACTAAGGGGCATGGGTTTAAGACCACAAAACAGTGGCACGGGCACTTTAATGACAATAGTAATAACCGATATTTGGAACCGGCTTCCAAAGAAAATAATCTACTAACAGTGTAGGGTTTTAGGCCGGCAGTTGATAATCTAGTAATGTAAACAGGTGTACAAATGTTTCAACTCGGGCATAGTGTTTTGTCCTTCGAGGTTGTCCGGGACACCGGCATCTTCCAAGAATAAATCCAAAACACCATAATCCAAATTGACACTCAGCATAATTAACCGCGCTTACTCAGGTCCAGGTATATTCCAATCGTGAATTCCGAGAGCATGAGTACTATGATTACTTCAGCAAATAAAAGGTACACCGGCCGCACAATGAATGTATGATAATAATACAAGGGAAATCCATGTGAAATTACTACGGATAAATTTCTTTTGTGACTAAAATTATCTGGAAGTCATTTTGAAAGTTGTGAAGGGAAAACTCATAACATATTCGATATCGGACCTCGTCCATATGTTCCCAAATCAAATATCCACCTGAACCGTACACATTTTTCCCCCTTGCGCTTTATCCGATTGCAGAACGCCTCAGCCTTATTAGTATGGACTCCAGTGGTAGGATTAATAAATCCACCAGTGTGATGCACAAAACCCTACGAGCTAAATGACTGACATGCAGCCCACTCATTTCCTGGAGCGACCCACTTCTGGATAATTGGTATTAGGGTGACAGCTAACCTGTTTTCCACACGTTCAAAGTGGCNGTTCTTCAAGGATCGAGCGTACATTCCAAAAACCCATACTACAGGTCACTGCTTTCCTTTTCCGTACCAAAATAGCTTCGTCGATCTCCACCACAACACGAGTACCTCCCAATTGTGTGGTTAAGGAACATAGCATGGACGAACATACATCGCGGCACAACGTGTACCACTGAACAGCAGTCTTGTCAGAAACATCCGCCATAACGGAAGCACGTGTCACAGGTTCTCCCATCGTAAAATGAAGAATAACTTCCACTAATGTATCCAACGGTAAGTTTGAACGCTCAAAATAAATGCCACAACGAATTCTGGGACGTTTCCTGAGCCTCATGCAACGGAAAACAGCCATCTTTGCAATTTTTAAACTCTCATGAACGCACTTCATGTTGACAAGTAGATATTCGTTCAGTTGGCATCAAATATCTATCTTGCATATAGTACAAGGAACAGGAACCTTCAAAACTACATAAATCATCGAAGTAGAGGACCACCTGATATGATTTCAAGGTCACAGATTTAAACAAAACTCGAAAAATCACCTTTTCTTAGGAATTATATACCTTCATATACATAAAATAAAATTAATAAAGACAACATTATATATACATCTATTGATGTTGTAAAATCTTAAATTGATATTCGGACATTCTAAATTGAAAAAGGTAGGGATAATAAAATCGTCAAACCTTTGAGAAGTTCGGCTTGAGGGGGGAGTTTTGTCAGTTCGCCATTTCCGGTTCGAATCTCGAGTACTGCTCGAATATAGTCTGAGTAATGTTGACTTCACAGGCTACAACGATCCACATAGAGTGAAGCTTAAAATCCCCGAAGACGGGTTTCTTCTATGAAATGGTGCTGAAATGCAGGTTAAATTGAGGTCCGATTTGGTAGGAGCAACTTCCAGCTCCTAGTTTTTAGTTCACGATGAGTATTCCCGTATAAGCTGGTAAAGGAACATGTTGTTCAAATAAATTACTACCGATTTTTCACTGTATCCTGGTTTAGCATCTTTACAGGCTTATCACTGAATACAAGATATATGTAGGCAAGGCATCTGGTTCAGAGGAGTCGGTGTTATTTGAGGTAACCTCGGCCTCAATGGAATTTACTTACTAGGGTATCGAAGGCTTAGAATGAATTCCTTCATGCAATAAATCATACCAACATTCACGCCTGAGCATGGCTATCAATTTCTCGTTCCATTTTGAAGTGATTCTCTTCCGTACCCATTCAACCTAGGTCAATTTGCGTCGGGCTCGTCCAAAACTCACCCAATCAACGGTCAAGGTCATGACGTCAATGAGGGGAAGAGCTTTCCTACCCGCCTCAGGGAAACTGAGTCGAAAATACGTTTGTTTGGCTGTGGAGATATTAGTTCATTCCGATTGACCTGGGAATCGATAGTCCCCGTTCAATAGATGAAGTCAGACAACCGGAACGCCAATCAATCTATGGAGTTCTCCGTAAAATGCTACGTGTCGAATTCTTTTTAGGTGCAATGGCATCGAAA